CCTTAAAGGAAAAAGAGATCATGGGGACAGAATTTCCTCAATTAACCGAGGTAAGAACGCTTTGGGAAGGCCTATGGAGTCGCGGGGTAAAACACCATGAAGATGCTGAGTGGATATCGCGCTTCGAACGGAGGTACAATGACAAAATAATGACGTGGCAAAAAATATATAAGTATAAATGAAGTTACAGAAGCTCTTCGAGAAGTCGCTAACTGAGCCTGACATGATCCAAAACTTCTAAAAATAGTAGAATCTGATACATTTCCTAAATGGTTGGCCACTGGTAGGACGTTCTTCCTCCCAAAGAACGAAAACACGAAGGACGTTAAAAACTACCGAAAATAAGGGCAACTTTCACAATTCCATTCAATGTACATTATGGTCTGTTTTCCAGAAATGAATTGATTGAATTGAAAATTGGTCAAAAATGTCAATAGGAAGAGAAAAGGGATTTCTGAAAGAAAGTTGTTAAAATTTAAGTTTATTCTAGCGCTATTAATGCGAAAATAAGTTTCGGGTGCTCTTAAGTATAATGAAGAAGATGAAATAGACAATACAGTAACAGAGGAAATTTGCCTAGACTAAAGCTATACCATTTAGTTAATCATTATTTTAATAATTCCGACACTTTCCACCAAAACACCACACGTAGAATGCGGAAATTGAGCCGTCAGGGATCAAGGACTTAAAACTTGGAAATGATATCTTGGAAATGAAAAACAGGAGATCGTATTCCCAATGACATAACGGACGTGGCATTGCTGCATTGGAAGTTAAAACTGTTAGCAATGGAGAGCTAATATGACCTCACACATTCACTTAAGTCTAATTGTTATGAAGCGTGACTCTTAATAGAAAAACTTTGTAATGTTATTCTGCGCTGGCTACCATATCATTGCGAAGTCTCATAGAAATTATATTTACTGAAGTCAAAAAAAAAATCCTAAAAAATATTTTATTGGAAACAGAATACTCAACGCAATAAACTATAGGTATTTCAACAATTGCTTTAACGACATTCCTTAGTGAATATTATAGCCTCACGTTTCCCAGCTATATACTGAATATAAAATGATACAAAAATACTTATTTTGATGAAGCAATTTCCGAAGATATGCCGCCGTTAAGGTAATAAATAACCCAAAACGTATGTGAAACCATTTTCGTTTTGATGTTGCTGTGTGATTAAATCAAACGAGTTACTCTATTTTTCAACTCGAAAGTTGGTTTAAAAATTTACGACAATGGTGTGTATAAACGCCATTTTCTAGAAAATATTTACGTTCCAGTCTCCGCAACCCCTCTATCAAATATTTAGTACACAACCCTCGCTATTCATCTTTGCCGCTGATTCAACTTTGATACAAACGCTTGATTATTCCCTGGAGATGTTAGTAATATAACAAAAGGAGTATTACAAGTTTTCGCGCCTTCGCACTACAGGTAGTATTTTGGTAGCCAAAACGGGGAATTCTTTTCCGTTTCGTTACGAGGAGTTTTTTTTGCTTGTGGACATAACCAAAGGGCGCGAGGTCCAAGCGAAATTTGTTTTCAACCATATTTCAAAAATTTAGGTTAATCAGCAACTCGATTTCGAAATTATCCAGCCAGTCAGCGCATGTATCAAATGGAAACGTGAATAATTAAAATTCATTTCTAAATGAAATGGACTTGAATTAAAAAGCTGTTCTTTTTGCCTAACTAGTTTTCGCTCAGTTTTCGGGCACATTTAGAATCTGTTTATTTTCCTACGTAAACACACCATTATCTCGTGTATATGTTTTCGGTCAGTACTCATTTATCGATGTTAAATATTAGAACAAAATTACCCTAAATGTGATAGAATTTTTGTATCTACTAATATTTATGTCAGAGAATTTAATTTTGCAATGCTAATTAATTTGTTTTCCCTTTGTTGTTAAGGATCTGCACATTTTTGTCGGTAAATTATGTGATAATAAATAACTGAAAACGGATGAGGATGTCAACTTGTAATATTGCCGTCTAGTGTGACCTTTTAATTTGTTACCCTGTTCAAAAAGTAGGTTTGGGAACTTGACAGAAAGGAATCTTCTGTCTTGATTGATTGATTATTGACTTTCGAAATAGGGCAAGATGGTCGGAATGCTAAAAAATGACGTTTTACGTAGTTCATTTTGTCTATGTGCAAAATTTTAATTTCAGGACCGTGATAGATAGCTATAGGTAGTGCTGGGACTGGTCAATTGACCACTT